CAGGCATACGATAACGCACACAGCGATAACGTGTCCCACAAATATAAGAAAGACACATCTTACTATAATAATTTGAGAAGCGTTAACAAATGCTATAAATCTAGCTGTGCAAGTTGCATTTTGAACCAGGATAAGTTTAGTCCGATATTTTCTAAATAACAGCCACTTTCAAATTAGGAGACCAAGGGTTGATGATCAAGGATTTAATGGTATTCAACAAGTGACAAGAAGAGCTGATGATAAGGGGAAGATGGATGAAGAGGAATTGATAATTTGAGGGTGATGATAATTTGCTCAGAGCGAATAAAATCCCGGGTTGTGATAAACAGGATGAATAAAGGTAAAGAGAGAAAAATTGGCCGTATGAATCAACTTATACGTATTATGAAATACTGCAGACCAAGTTTAGTTGCCAAGGCAATTTTAAACCCAGTATTACCTAATCCATTTATTGAAAAATAATTGAAATCAATATGATCTTTCAATAGGATCTTGAGGGAATATTATCTTGTTACATGCGCGAAGATCAGCAGGAATTGAATCGGCAATTTGAATATATCATCAGACAGATGCATTCGCGTTAGTTATTTTTTTTGCATTTTCATCAAATTACTGCAGTATGAAAGGTAATATACAAACTACCCTTTCTTTCAGACGACCAGAATGGTGAAGAAGATGGGCTTGGTGATGATGAAGACGGTGACGACGATGAGGATGATGACGAAGTTAGTTCTCATCAATTCATTTGGTGTTCATTAATAATTAATTAATATGAAAAAAATTGTTGCCTTGATTTAAAGATATCCCCATTTGATTTAGCACCCAAAAAGGCATGGTGTATAAGATGGGCATTTATTTGGTTTATTTTAACAAAAGGCCAAATATGAACTAAGATTTGTACAAAAAATGTACCACTTTCACTATAATAATATTATTTGAGAGGAAGAGACAAGAAATGCGTCTTGAAGTCATGCTTTCTACAGTGCTCCATGTGTACTTAGTTTCCCATTGTCCATACTTTCTTTATTTCTGGTGATTTTGGGAAGCAATCTGGGTAAGCATTGGAATCAAGAGAAGTGACTGCTGATCTTTAAGAGCGTACGATTACATTCATTTACAACTTCTGAAACCATTATTACATTTTTCTGCTTTTTGAAGAAGGCTCACATTCGAATACACTAGGTTTAAAGATTGGAGATTAACGTCGCTCTCACCCCCTTGGTTCACAGAACCGTTAATTGATTTAGGCTAGCGAGAGTTATTTAATTGGTTTGTTTTTCGTTTAAATTTATTTATAATGTTCCTCTTAGGAGGACACCGCCCAAATGGAGGTCGACATAGATCGAGGTGATGATATCACTGATAACAAAGAAAACACTCTTGATGGTGCAATAGTCGGAGAAATTTTGCTTAAAGAGCGTTTTGAAAAGGAGAAAGAGAATGTGTTTCCCAGCGCAAACAAGAGAGCAGGTCGGTCGAATATGAATTCTCCGTTGCTACCTATGCCAAATAAGGCCTTGTCTCCTCAACCTCCTTTTGCTAACCACAACGAAAACGACTCCATTATGAATAATAATGCTGGTCTTCTTCGACGACCCTCCACACCAAGTCGTAGGAGGAATTCGAATATTACTCCCTCGCAGATTCCTAAGCCGGCCGGTTCGAATAGGCAGTCAGTTCCGAGGTTATTATATGAAAGATTTATTTAAATATTCTTCTATTTTGTCATTCTCTGGCTCAATTTCTGAACTTCTTTTGTGATCGAAAACCCACGTTCCTGTGATAATGCTTGCATTGGATTTGAATAATTACTAATTTATTTATCAATATTTCTGATCGACCCTGACAAGACAGATTTCCAAATAACAAAATTAGCTTACATATATTTTTCACACTGAATTGAATTCACCCGAAATTTATCAAGGGGGAGCTTAAAGGATGATGAATTTGTTCTACTAACTCCAAATTCATCCTCTTCTTCCTTCCAATGCACCCTATTCAAGTCATCTGCACCCCGTCAGTTCACTCCAGTTAATTATTAAGTGATTTGTAATTTTCACAAAGCTGCAGACAATACTGCATAATAATCTCTTTTGGCCTCAGAAAAACTCCGAATAGGACCTCAAAAGTTATCGAAGAGACGCATACAAAGGGTAGAATAGGAAAGGCTGAAAAACCGGGTGAGTAATCACTACCAACCACACTACTACTGATCTAACGATATTTTAATTCATAATTTTATCCTTGTCTTCTCTTCAACAGATTCTCCGCAAACGAGTAGTCAGAAGGATTCAACTTCAGCCTCGGAATCTAAAAAACGAGTAGTCGAGAACCATCCTGAATACCAGAAAGCATTCAACAGTCGACCGAAAATACTTCGTACTCCAGAGCATAAAGTGGGTCAAAGCGATATTCTGAATAGCAGTTCTAAGCCAAGGCCTGGGTCTGGTAAGGACGAAGTGCTATAAAAGCTAAATGAAATAAGGCATACAGAATATTTGTTTTTCGCGATTTTTAGGGAGATCAATTGACAGCAATCACCGATGAAGTCAACCAAAAAAACAATTCTTCCTGCGCTTATTGTATAAAATGTGTTCCTTGATATTACTGTCTGTTGTTCACTTGTTACTTAGCTTAACTACTACTTTTACTTAACTAACTACCTACATTATATAAGTAGACGTTTGTGTCGAAGTCTCATTGTTTCAATCGTTGGTGCTTGAACGACTGAAGATAATGAGGACAACTCCTACTCTAATAGATAGAATTGGTTGAAAATCGTCCCACATCTAAGGATGTTATTGAGTTTTCAATAATAAATGATTCCAAGGCCATCACCTTAGCTGATCTCTATATATTTACTAAGACTGGTTGGTGCAGAACCAGGTATGCGGTTTTTGCTATTACCATGCCCACTAGAATGATCTCACCAACTGCATTATCCTATATGGATGAGCATTTCGAAAAACACTTTTGTTCAGCCCAATTAACTGCCACATAGGCGTCACTCGAACACAATCGACAGTGAATGACATACTTCCACTTAACAAGCATGAATCTTTGCTATGATCAATCGGATTCAAAACTTAACATTTTCCTAGTAAATAATCAAGCTAGCTACTAACCGAATCTTCATAAAGGTGCATAAATTTGTAAATTACTCGATACTACAGATAAAGGGACTACAAATATTAAGTTTGTACAAAAAGACATTTATTTTCACATTAAAACATGTTATAATCATTCAACATTGGCTGCTTGTCTTCAATGTGGTATTTTCCTCCACCTCCTTCAATACCATCTGGCGCACTTCAGAGATACTCGCATCTCTAACATTAATCCACCGCCAAAGAGGGGTCGCCTTATTCCCTCTAGCTCTTCTAGATTCTAGTTCATCAGCTAGACGTCTAAAATTGTCTAAAACTCGAGTCTGGAAGGAAGCGTTATCAAAGCGCTCCTCGCCAAAGCCGCCACGACTCGATAGGTCATCAATGTGGTCTGGAAGAAGACAAAGAACAAGATCGGGTTGTGGAAGCTCTTCCTCACTTCGGAGGCACCAATCCCATGATGGGGTGTGAGCATGTACTTTAGAAGCGGTGTAGACGATTCCAGAGTAGCTGTAGCGGTCTGCTACTACACAACGACCTGCTGATAGGGCTTGCTCGATATCAGCTGCTCTTTCCCATCTAAAATAGTAATCTCAATAGTTTAGAGAATAAATAAAAAATAAGATTCATAGGTCAATAAGACAGCAACGAAGTCACGAGCACTATTTTCGAATTGTGGCCAAATGGTAAGATTGCAAAAACTAACAAAGCAATTAACAATCTTTAAAGTAGATTCAAGATTTGACAGACCGCTAATGGGTGGAAAGTTCAAGACTTAGATAAGGAGAGTGGCACATCTTTGAGATTATATAAGGACATAGGAATTGCTAACCGGTAAATCGTGGCTTTTAACGATGACAGTTATTTTGAAATAAAACGTAAACAAGAAGATGTAAAAAGCAAGAGTTGAAAAGCATTCAGGAACATTTAGGAAAATGGAGACCTGTAACAATAAAAATAATAAGTGAATTTAAATCTAAATAACACCAAACCTATCACGCAAATAAGAGAGCGGTGGCAAAATAAGTACTAGATGGAGGAAATGCTAAAAATCTTATGAAATCCAGAGTATGCTCCAATAGGTTAAAATTCAAACGAAATGAATATTTTGGTTATGAATGCTTAAAGGTCTTAAATAGAATATAAAAAATACAACGGCTCTGAAACTGTAGGCAAAAAATAAGAATTATCATTAAAATTAACGAACACCTATTGGCAGTGAAGAGAAGATGCACAGCGTGTGGATTAAGTTCAACTTTTCCGGAGAGATATTTACTCAAACTTTCTCCAATAGTGGTAGTGCGATCAGGAAAACGTATAAGGTAGGTATCGTTTCCATAGATTGAACTTAGAGCATCAGCTAATAGGTTGGCCTGAGTAGATTTTCCCACACGATCGGTGCCCTCGAGAACGATGAACAACCCTTTCCGAGAATTCATCTTAAATAAAGATCACTCCGTTATTAGAAAGTAACATAGATTAAATCTGTAGACTCAGAGCAACCCACCATCAACCGAGTCCGCAGGGCGATTTCAAATTATTCAAATTGAGGCTAGGCATTTTCACCTTCAAAACAGTTTAGTATAATGCTCAAGTTATCTAGCCTAATCAGAGCTTCACGATTTTTTCTTTAGTAATCCAGAGTTTGAGTAAGTATAATATTATTTCGCATTTATCTTCCAATAATGCCTATCTTTATGTACTTTTGATTTTGCATTACCTTACCAACTAGTAAATTATGATTGAAAAGGAATAACTATCTTTAATAACCAATTTATTTGCATTATGTAACGAAAATACTTTTGACCTCATCGAAACAAGACGAACTTATTATAATTTATACAATCGTTGTAGATTTTCATTTTAGTACTTCAACCCCCATTGTGATACAAGGTACAAATTAAAATAAATAGGATCTACTTGCTAGCAAACGTTGTAAGATTATATCATTAGAGGTGCTATTGAATAAAAGCTCTATTGTAACATTTTCGTTTCTCTTTCAACTTATTTGCCATTTTTTTATAAACATTCGATCTCTTTCATCAATGGAATTAGTATTTATTGAATCTCATTAAAAATACCATCGCTAAACCCAACATTTAAATTTACATCTAACAATAGATGCATTAAAATCATTGCTTTTAATTTTGAGACGAAATAATTCGAGACAAAATTTAATTGCTCTTTTGAGAAATGTTAATTAATATACCTCTTAGAACTGTGGAACATAACGTCACCAATTAACAAGTGAGCTCATTTGCACACAGACAGACTTAAAGGTGTGGCCGTGGAACTTAGCTTAATAAGTGCAGTAGTGTGCACGGAGAACTTACAGCCAACCGTCAACCCTTGCTTGCTTTATCAAATCCGCCATATTTTTATAATGACTAAGCTACTCAAACTCAATCAGAATAAGAGCATTCCATGTGATATGTCTGCTTTGTCTACAGCTTTGTGGTAGTTTATTTAGTTCTGGGAGTCTTTCCAAACTTAAGAGAATCTGCCATAAAGATTTTCGACTATAGTCAAGGCTTGTTAATGCGGCAGTCCACTACATGTCTCCTTAATTGGATTGCTTTAACAAACGTACTGAAAATTTTTAAAAAGTTAAATTTTTCTTGAGAGAAAATGCTTTTTTAGTTTTTTGCGTTCGTATATGCACCTTCTTTTTGCAGTCAGGTACATTTTCGGTTACTGCATGGAAATATACTTCCAACTCTGTCTCCACAGCGACTTTCCCATGTAGGAATACAGTTTCAGTAGTTTCGTCTAAACTCTTTTGAAAGGTAGTTGTAGAATAATCATTGTGTTCTCCGGTGGTGGTGGGGGCGTTTTGAAGTAATCGCGTGCCCTCTTAAGCCACAAGTTGGAAGTTTTCCAAGAGGCAGAGCTGGGTTAGACACAGAGTTTGTTTTATTCCCTGAACCCCCAATGAATTTGGGCTCTAATAACATCATGTTTCGTAGAAGGTATAATTCGGAGGCACAGATACAGACACAATGAACATGAAGGTATGAGAGAACGGAAAATATCAGAAACATTGGTGTCGAGAAAAGAAGCTATTAGATATAGGGTGGAGGAGAAGAGGTTACTTGAGAGATGAGGTCAATTAGATCATGTCTTGCCTAATTGGTGGGTGATAACTCTTTAGAACGACGGTGAATACGTGATCTGTCCAACCTTAACTTACAAAAATTTAGCAAATTGGATTTTATGGATAGGCGAATTACAATAGGCACTGAAGAGATCTGCGAGAACTAGTATGGACACTTATTTTGAATAACCTCATTTTAGACTAAGTACAGGCGGCTTCAACTGAGTCAGTGGATGCACTCGCGGTATACATTAAAAAGGAATGAAACTGGAAAAATCGCAGTGATTTTGGGATTCGATGAATTTGTGGAGATAACAGAGTGCCAAAATAGCTTATTGCATTTATGTACATCTTATGGAAGGACTTTCTGTCGTACCCAACTAAAGCAAGTCTTATTATGCAGGCAGTTGTTGGAAACCACGATTTTATTCACCACTAATTTTGGTAGATAATTAAATCAGCGAACTCAAGTTCCAAGTTATAAGTTTGGAATGCGGTGGATCAATTTTCTTACCTCTATTCCCTTCTAATTGAAATATCGCTTTGTTTCATGTGCTCTCATCTCTCAACCAACCAGCACACAATAGCCACTATGTGACATCAGTTGGAGTACCACCTGAGTAGGATTGCTTGGAATCATGATATTCTTAAAATTCTTAGGGAAACTGTGGAGGTTCATTCGTATGTGACTGAAGTGGTGGATGTAGGAGTATGTACATGACTGCAAATGAATTCTATGAATGGACGGAAAGTACTGATTTGGTGAAGACAGTTGAAACAAAACAGATGAAGTTAAGCTGTTGTTGAGATACTAATGTTCCGGTAGGTCACGCTACAACTCAACCCCTCGTCAACATAATAAACACATCCCAGTCAGTTATTTTAGATTAGGAGAGTGCTTCAAATTTTAGACGACCCAGTTATTTAAATGGCTTTATTTAAGGTTATGGTCCAATCAGAAGCGCGTCCAGATGTAAGCAAACAAGATTCGGTGTTGCTTTGTGTGGATGGTAATTGAGGAAGTGTTCGATTTGATTCATTCGGATTTCATTTTATGTAAAGCTAACAGTTTTTTATTAGACCGAGTAATGTTGGTGGTTGAGGGTTCGGAAGGGTTGGCAACAACACGCGTTATGCACAATCTTTCGGCAATGTTTTCATTAAACTTTCATTAGACTTACCTCCACGTGTTGCACGTGGTTTTGATACGCAAAAAAGTCTAGAACTCCTCAGTTGACTTCAAATTATTTTAGTCAGCCTTATCCTGCAGATCAATGGCTCCAAGTCTTCACTGATGGGTCATACATAGAAAACCAAGCAAACGTTGGTGCAGCTGTCTACTCTGAACTCTTCTCTTTCTACGCAGTAGCGGGACACAATGGATCCGCGTTCGAAGGAGTAAAAGAGGCTATTAGGACAGCACAGGGCAAATTATGATGCCTCGATACGAAATTCACCAAAGCAGTAATACTTTTGGACTCACAGTCAACAATAAACTCAATTGGAAACAGAGAGCCACCCAAAACAGCTGAGATATACGAATGTAAAAAACTGTATCAGCTGTTGAGAGAGAAAGACAAAAACGGTGGTCCTACGATGGATTCTTGGTCACTGTGGCATTAAAGGCAATGAGCCTGCTGACACACTTGCTAAGAAGGAGACAACAATTTTACAAGGCATAGACCGGCCGATGTCTTTCCACACAATGAAGGCCTTAATCAGGAGAGAATTCCATACCTCAAGGTGCAGCGAACTTAAAGCTCGAACAAAGTAGAAACAGTGGACAATGACACTCTCCAACATAGCCGACTGGCCAAGAATCGAAGCCGCTGCTGAGTTTGGACTACATACCGGACACGATTGCTTGGCAAAACACCTCCACAAATCGGGAGTATGGACTCAACTCACATACCCCCAATGTAACCTACAGGAGGAAATGGAGAAGACACACCTGATTCGGTGTCCAGCCCTAAAGACAACGACGGAAACTCAAACATATTGGGTCGCAAGAAGACAGCTAATGAACTGCTATTGATTAACTGCTATATATGTACCCCACTAACCATGGGGTAAGCTAAAGTCAAAGTTTAAGAGCTAATGATAAATACCATGAGTCCTGCCATTTGAAAAAAACTTATAGGGAAACACCTTTCCTCTCGTATTGCACAAAAGCTCCAAGTATTTCCGCTATATTTTGAAAAACATGAAGTCACTTTAGGGGTTACTAATGGATATAAAGACAAAATCGCCTCTTGGGAAAGCTATTTGAAATGGTCCGCGAATAGTGCTAATCAGCGTGTATTCACATGACCGAAAAACATGTAATAATAATAATAATAAATAACAACTCCAGGATAAACCATTGACAACTATGAATACATGTAATTGGAAAGACTTGGTGAGACCATAAATCCATTTCAAGGCTTGTGTCTTGTGGAACAAATATTTGTTCCATGTCTCCAAGATGTACTCGAAAACAGCAGACACTTCTATCAAAGCTAAAAAAGTGAGCAACATGCATAATACCATATAACATATTACTAGAACCTCTTTCACCTGACGGATTATAAACAACCTGCCGTAAATATTCCTGTTGGTTACAAGGTGATTCTATGTGAGTGGTTGAGCGAGAGGGATAGA